TTGAAACGTCAATTTTGCCTTTCAAATTATGATTTCTGATCATTTTAAAGTTACAGTTCACATAAAGCAGTTTGAGAGGTTCATTTTGCTCTCTGATTGAGCTGAAATTCAACTGAGATGAATAAAAATCCTGTTCCAGAGTCTTCTAGGGTGGTAACTCCAATTTGTGACAATTCTAGTGTTAAATTTGAGCTATGGCAGTTTGAAACGTCAATTTCGGCCCTCAAAATACGATTTCTGATCATTTTAAAGTTACAGTCCAAATAGAGCAGTTTGAGAAGCTCATTTCGCACCTTGATTGAGCTGAAATTCAACTGAGATGAATGAAAATCCTGTTCCAGGGTCTTCTAGAGTAGTAACTCCAATTTCTGACAATTCTAGTGTTAAATTTAAGCTATTGCAGTCTGACACGTCAATTTTGGCCCTCAAACTACGGGTTTCTGATGATTTTAAAGTTACAATTCACATAGAGCAGTTTGAGAAGATCATTTTGCACCCTGATTGAGCTGAAATGCAATTGAGATGAATGAAAATCCTGTTCCAGGGTTTTCTAGAGTAGTAACTCCAATTTCTGACAATTCTAGTGTTAAATTTGATTTATGGCAGTTTTGAAACGTAAATTTTGGCCCTCAAACTACGGATTTCTGATGATTTTAAAGTTACAATTCACATAGAGCAGTTTGAGAAGATCATTTTGCACCCTGATTGAGCTGAAATTCAACTGAGATGAATAAAAATCCTGTTCCAGGGTCTTCTAGAGTAGTAACTCCAATTTCTGACAATTCTAGTGTTAAATTTGAGCTATGGCAGTTTGAAACGTCAATTTTAGCCCTCAAACTACGGATTTCTGATGATTTAAAAGTTACAGTTCACATAGAGCAGTTTGAGAAGATCATTTTGCACCCTGATTGAGCTGAAATTCAACTGAGATGAATAAAAATCCTATTCCAGGGTCTTCTAGAGTAGTAACTCCAATTTGTGACAATTCTAGTGTTAAATTTGAGCTATGGCAGTTTGAAACGTAAATTTTGGCCCTCAAACTACGGATTTCTGATGATTTTAAAGTTACAGTTCACATAGAGCAGTTTGAGAAGATCATTTTGCACCCTGATTGAGCTGAAATTCAACTGAGATGAATGAAAATCCTGTTCCAGGGTTTTCTAGAGTAGTAACTCCAATTTCTGACAATTCTAGTGTTAAATTTGAGCTATGGCAGTTTGAAACGTAAATTTTGGCCCCCAAACTACGGATTTCTGATGATTTTAAAGTTACAGTTCACATAGAGCAGTTTGAGAAGATCATTTTGCACCCTGATTGAGCTGAAATTCAACTGAGATGAATGAAAATCCTGTTCCAGGGTTTTCTAGAGTAGTAACTCCAATTTCTGACAATTCTAATATTAAATTTAAGCTATGATAGTTTGAAACGTCAATTTTGACTTTCAAACTACGATTTCTGATCATTTTAAAGTTATAAAGCAATTTGAGAAGCTCATTTTGCACCCTGATTGAACTGAAATTCAACTGAGATGAATGAAAATCCTGTTCCAGAATCTTCTAGAGTAGTAAATCCAATTTCTGACAATTCTAGTGTTAAATTTAAGCTATTGCAGTCTAACACGTCAATTTTGGCCCTCAAACTACGGGTTTCTGATGATTTTAAAGTTACAGTTCACATAGAGCAGTTTGAGAAGATCATTTTGCACCCTGATTGAGCTGAAATTCAACTGAGATGAATGAAAATCCTGTTCCAGGGTTTTCTAGAGTAGTAACTCCAATTTCTGACAATTCTAATATTAAATTTAAGCTATGTAAGTTTGAAACGTCAATTTTGGCTTTCAAATTACGATTTCTGATCATTTTTAAGTTATAGAGCAATTTGAGAAGCTCATTTTGCACCCTGATTGAACTGAAATTCAACTGAGATGAATGAAAATCCTGTTCCAGAATCTTCTAGAGTAGTAACTCCAATTTCTGACAATTCTAGTGTTAAATTTAAGCTATTGCAGTCTGACACGTCAATTTTGGCCCTCAAACTACGGATTTCTGATGATTTTAAAGTTACAATTCACATAGAGCAGTTTGAGAAGATCATTTTGCACCCTGATTGAGCTGAAATTCAATTGAGATGAATGAAAATCCTGTTCCAGGGTTTTCTAGAGTAGTAACTCCAATTTCTGACAATTCTAGTGTTAAATTTGAGCTATGGCAGTTTGAAACGTCAATTTCGGCCCTCAAAATACGATTTCTGATCATTTTAAAGTTACAGTTCTTATAAAGCAGTTTGAGAAGTTCAATTTGCACCCTGATTGAGCTAAAATTCAACTGAGATGAATGCAAATCCTGTTCCAGGGTCTTCTAGAGTAGTAACTCGAATTTCTGACAATTCTAAATTTTAGCTATGGCAGTTTGAAACGTAAATTTTGGCCCTCAAACTACGGATTTCTGATGATTTTAAAGTTACAGTTCACATAGAGCAGTTTGAGAAGATCATTTTGCACTCTGATTGAGCTGAAATTCAACTGAGATGAATAAGAATCTTGTTCCAGGGTCTTCTAGAGTAGTAACTCCAATTTCTGACAATTCTAGTGTTAAATTTAAGCTATTGCAGTCTGACACGTCAATTTTGGCTCTCAAACTACGGATTTCTGATGATTTTAAAGTTACAGTTCACATAGAGCAGTTTGAGAAGATCATTTTGCACCCTGATTGAGCTGAAATTCAACTGAGATGAATAAGAATCTTGTTCCAGGGTTTTCTAGAGTAGTAACTCCAATTTGTGACAATTCGTGTTAAATTTGAGCTATGGCAGTTTGAAACGTAAATTTTGGCCCTCAAACTATGGATTTCTGATGATTTTAAAATTACAGTTCACATAGAGCAGTTTGAGAAGATCATTTTGCACCCTGATTGAGCCGAAATTCAACTGAGATGAATAAGAATCTTGTTCCAGGGTTTTCTAGAGTAGTAACTCCAATTTGTGACAATTCTAGTGTTAAATTTGAGCTATGGCAGTTTGAAACGTCAATTTTGGTTCTCAAAGTAGATATATGTATGAACGAGATATGGGAAGGATCAGAAGGAAAAATAATCTCTTAGAAGTAGAGTAAGATGGTTCCTTCTGCATCATAGGTTCCACCCCGTGGGTGCGATTGAGACAACACTATACATCGGCTCTGCGGGTGTGAGAGAGAAAGCAATATGTCTGGCATTTCACCGTTCTCTTCTTGCTCGATTTCTTCCACTTCTTGTTTAACCTGATTTCCAACTTCGGGAAACACAGTGAAAATAGAACTCGATAATGATGACGTCGCTGATTTTGGCGAAGTGGAAGTAGAAGTGGGAGATCAGGTTGAACAAAAAGCGAGACAAGAAGTGGAAGAAATCGAGCAAGAAGCAAATTATGAGCATGTTGGAGAGCACGGTGAAATGCCAGACATTTTGCCTTCTCTCTTACATCCGCAGAGCCGATGTCTAGTGTTGCATCTCTCGCACCCACGAGGTGGAACCTATGATGCAGAAGGAACCATCTTACTCTACTCTTAGAACTTGAAACATAGGGCATAGGCATAGGCAAATTCAAAAATGAAAGCTAGAAAGACGATAAATGCTTTGACAGGAAAATTATTTGATGATTTTTAACAGAAGCTGAAAGATCATAGAACACTCTTCAGAAATTGTAAGATCGTTGATAGATTCTAATGAAAAATGATTTGAAGATTTTCAGGATTATTTGGGGGATCATCAGACAATATCACTCCTAGAAATTGAAAGCTAAAGAAAACAAATACAAAAAGGAACTTTGAAATACATTGCGAGATCAAAAAAATTAACAGATTTTGACAGTTTAGAAGATAAAGACTGTAACAGACATTGAAAGATCAAAGGAAGAGAAAACATTCTAGTGATTTTTATTAGCAGTTGTGAGATCATAAAGAAATAGTATATTACATGCGGAGGTGGAAAGTGTTTCATTATTGTCAAGAGATACTATGGTTGACCGAGGTGCGAAGCACCGAGGTCAACCAATTCTCGAGACAATATAGTGAAAACTTTCCACCGAAATATGTATACTATTTAATTTTGAACCATTAATTATTCAAAAAAAATAAGGTGAAAATATGACAAAAATGGAATTTCGACGACACTCTGACTCCGACATTGACATCCTATGAAATTTTAACAATATATATAAACACATGTGACATCTATTTCTAAATACAAACATTGCACTTGGATTTGTGTTTAGGTGTGAAAGAACAATTTATCAGGCGGAAAGCGAATTCTCCAGGCAGAAAGTGACAGGAGAACTGAAAAATTGAAAAATTGAGGAGCCTTGACAGACGTTGATGAAAGAAAAAGTGAAAGATGGCCATCAGTGAAACTTCCGAAAGTTATTAAAGAATCAGAGTGAAAAATCCTAAACAATATTATGTATTACAATACAAACTTGGCTGTCAATTGACCACTCGAAAATTAAAAAACAAAGTTGGACTTACGTAGGTCCACAAACGCATTATAACAGAGCCCGTATTTTCTAATATTAGTCCGACACAGTTGGCTATGTCCAGAGATCCTTCAATGAATTAGATGACACTCCGCTCGCTTATTTATTCGATAATTTGGCCAAAGGCCAATTCTATTTCGTTTTGTATTTATACATATTGGGGTTTTAATGACGAAATCGATTTACCTCTTTCAGCTTTTGGCTTCATTGGGAAACACCTAAACATGGGACTATACTCTATCTGTTTTTAGTATTTTATCTAATCGATTTGTTTTGGCAATATTTTAAAGATAAATATTATCTGCAGCCGCGATATACGATAATATTTTAATGCGGTTTCCCACCATAATTCCATTTTATTATTTGTTCATATTATAAGAGATGAAAATAAAATTGGCTCTCTAGTGCCATCCCCCAGCATCCAGCAGCGCCCCAAAATCGATATAGACGAGTAATTTCTGCCCTTGACCCGACTTGCACAATTTCGCGCTTACCTTGTATGTTGTCGTGTTCCTGAGCCGTTCGTCTCGAAGGCGATCCTTTGGCTGGTGGCTGTTTGAGTACCACCAAAGGTACTAGACCTTCGGGTACCGGTTCCTGCTGGCCTTCGGAACCTCGTGTGGGCATGCGGACTAGACAATAATCTGGTTTGGAGGTGCAAACTTCGACCACTTCTACTTGTTGGCCTTTGGTGACTGTTAGTTCTTGAGGGTTGGTAGCTGTGAAGTCTGATATTACCCAGGTCATTTCCAAAACCCCAGCCTGGAAAAAAAAAAGAAAAAGGTTTAGTAGAGCTATTATTGACTGTCAAACAAACAAAGAATCGATTTGTAATTTAATCCTATACATTATTGAACAATATACGTTCCTCGGGGACTGACGTGAAACTAGCCCTACTAGGAAAAGTAATTACTTCTCGTCGCTCGTCGGGTTACATTAATAAATAAGGGATAATAACATTTTTTAATTAGTCTGTGGCAAAGGGAAGCTTTTAATTTGCTCGTTCAGGTGGGCGATAAACCATATATACGAAGCCTATTTTTAATATGATTCGTAGAACTTTTAGTATTTCGAGGTGGGTTGATGTATGATGCCAGAACTGGCACTGTTGATAGGAATCGATATTCCAGGATTTTGTCCTAGCAAGTTCTATGTATCAAGAATTCGGACATAGAAACATAATTTTATCTGTATTTTTGAATTTGTCATTTCCTACTATTTCTCTACGAGCGTGCGCAAAACTCCAACTTTTCGAATGCATTTTAGGTCATATGAAAGTAGGTATTACTTTTCCGCACTACAGTACCGCATTTTTTATAATAATAATAATAACTTTCCTGTCCTAACTCGCACGGAAAGTGTCTTTTCCCTACCAAATTGGCACTTTCCGCACTAAAACATAATTCAAATAAATATCCATATTCGTTTTGGTTTTCATGTTTTTTCTCATAGACGGCAGTTGTATCGGTTCTGCTGTCAGAGGTATGATTGGCATTTTCCAAATTTTTAATGCAAAACAAGTGGTTTTTGACCATAGAAAATAACTTCACGTTTCGAAAACAATCAAAGTAGGCTTTTTAAGTTGGACAATCCAATCCGTATGGCGGCCATGGTCAAACAATGAAGGATTTTATTTACCTACTGACGTTTTCTTATAATAAAACTGGTTTATTGTTTGAGAAGGATAATTTTGGTAGTTTCGAAGTGTATAAACACAAAAGACAAACACATGACAGATGTTTGACCGTTGCCGCCATATTAAATTTATGTTTTGACAAGTCGTTGGATTGCCCTATCGCATTTTGGTAGTTTTATACGAAAAATAACGGTTTTTTTGTGGTGTAAGGAATTTTTCCGTTATCTAGCTTCACGTTTCGAAAAGATCAAAGTAGGCTTTAAACAGCCATTTCAAAAGAAACCATCCAACCAAGGATAATAAACACTTCTACTACAGGATAGCATATCCTGATAAGACCTGTGTGGAACAAATCTGAAGCCCCCCACCACGCCAAATCACCAGTTGTGACGTAGGCAGCATGTCCTTTTTCGCCTTGACGTAGGCTGTTTGCACGACAGGTTATGATTCCTCGGGCTTTTGCTTTATGCATACTTGATTTTACTACATTATTTAACATTCTAAAACAACTCTTTTTCAGAACTCGTTTTTATTTTGCTCTTTGTCTATTATGTTAATCAAAATGAAATAATATTTTTCATCATAAATTTAAATTCTAAACTACGACCTCTAATGCAAACAGTTGACGACTTGTTAATGACGTGGAAATGGTGACAAACCAATATGGCAGCGATTACGAAAAACGAGGCCGATAAGCCAAGGTTGTTTGTTAACTTTATAACGTCATCTGGGGTACCTCAACATAATACAAATCTTCATAAGGCACCCCAGATACGTCATCAAATTACCCATTACCAAGCAACCTATTAACTTTAGGAACCTTGCGTAGTGTGTATTATCCCTGCAATCCAACGATCTGTCAAAACATAAATTCAATATGGCGGCAACGGTCAAACATCTGTGATGTGTGTTTGTTTTTTTGTTGATACACTATGTAAATTATCCTTTTCAAGCAATAGAAAATCCCCTCAAAAATACACACAGAGAACAGTTTTATAATAACACGGATGTCTGAAGGTAAACGATATTTTTGGCGCCAATTCCATTGTATGACCATAATCGCCACATTGGGTTTTGATATTTTTATACATAAACACACATTGCAGATGTTTGACCGTTGCCGCCATATTGTTACGAAATTTCTGTCTGAGATTCTGTCACCTTTGTCATAGCAACGCGTCAGAATTGCATCAGAGCCGTATTTTCCATCCGAAGATTTTTTAAATGCGAAAAATTTTTGAAGAATTTCTATTTTGGATCTCGGAAGGATCTCCTGTTTCAGTATGTTTTCTTGGTGTAATTTCGATTTTTTTACGTTTTTAGATGAAAATTATAAAGAATCCATTTAGTTCGGCTCTGTTTAAGTAGCCATATTGTTCCAATACTTAGCCACGCCTACCGAATTACCGATACCGTTTTCTATTGCACTATTCAAATGATAACAGCGTCTCCTTATACTCTAAAGAGTGCTTATCGGCTTCGTTTTTGGTAATCGCCGCCATATTGGTGTGCCACCATTGCCGACGTCATAACTAAGTTGTCAGCTGTTTAAACAGCCTGCGTCAAGGTGAGAAATACCATACTGCCTACGTCACAACTGGTATTTTGACGTGAGGGGGAAGGGGGGGTCACACAGACCTTATGAGGATAGGCCATCCTGTAGTAGTAGTGTGTCACGGTAGTGTGAGTGAGTAGTGCGAGTAGTGTAAGAGGGCTGTGAGTGTGTATCATCATTGGGTTGGATTGCCCTAATGCGTTTTGTTATAGCGAATTCCATTGGTAAAATTAGTGCAAAAAAAAAATATATTTTTATCTCTTTCTTATACAAGCTGGTAGAAAAAGACACGAATACACTCAATGTGCACTAACTCTTCCAATAGAATTCGCTATCAGTTTTATACGAAAAAGAACGTTTATTTGAGTGTAAGGTGCAAAGAATTGAATTTTCTAAGAAAATCTAATTTTTCATCAAGTACAGTGAAAATTATTCATTAGCTAACTTCACGATTGGGTGGCCATTTTAAAATTGTATTTTTTTTGGCCGTCATGGGTTTTTCTCGAATATTTTCCGATTTTCAATAGATTTCAGTGCGAAAAATATTTCTTGTGATACGAGGAATTGGATTTACCATAATCGGCACGTTAATATTCAAATAAAATGCCATTTTTCATAGAAAATTTTCTCATGGTAAGTGGAATCTGTCATATTAGCTATAGTGGCGACAATGAGGAAGTTGCATAAAATTTTATTTTGATGCAAAATGTATTTAAAGTGAAGCTAAATACTCTAGAAGTATATTTCCATATTCAAATCCTCTTTATACTGAACCACTAATAAATAATTAATTATTCAAATATTGAATAAAACAAAGGGCGCGAAAACGCTCTCAAATTGGTTATGACGTCATGGAACGATAAACAAACAAAAGTGTGGTTATGTTAACGTGATACGTGAGCCGTCAGACGCTGGTGTTTACATCGAATTCTACCGATGGATTTACCATTTTATGTCGGTCATTGTCATTTTCCATTAACTAAACAAAGATACCCATATATATTTGTTACTATCATTACTACACTATCAGCTGTATGCAACATCCTCTTTTAACTTAGAAGCGCTTTTTAAAACTGGTACCTTTAAAAATTTTGCATGGTTTAGAATACACATTTTTGAAAGTGACCAGTTTTAAAAAACGCTTTTAGGTTAAAAGAGGATCTTGCATACAGCTGTATATCTTTTTCTCTCTTAATGTATATAGGGTGTGAGTTCACTGGAAGAGAATTGATTTCCAAAATCAAAGTAACACTATCTTTGTTTAGTGAATGGAAAATGACAATGATCGACATAGTCGCATAAACCAATGACAAAACACAATGGGTAAGAGAGAGAGGGAGTACAGAAACTCGTTTTGACGGATACCGTCTTGTGACGTCATTCATTTATGAGTGCGTTTTGGCGGGAAGAGAGTTATTTTGAATTTCTATATTTTTTTACAGAAAAACTATTAGTTGAAAATTTAAAATTTATGTGGTAAGTGACTTTTTACAATGTGAAAAATTTATTAAGAGAATAAAAAAAAAATCTGCAAATTCCTCATTGTCGTCCTATTTTTGAAATTCTATATGTTCATATTGAAAATTGGCAAGAATATGGTGGGGCCTGGCTCACTTTTATATTCACCAATGAAATATTCAAAATTAACAAATATATGGTGATGTGACTTTTATTATCACCACTATAAAGGTGTATTGAGTCCCTGTAATATTAGCTAACTTCACTTTTCGAAATAAACATCAAAGTAGGCCTTGGACGGCCATTTTAAAATTGTGTTTTTCAACAAAAATGGCCGTAGTAGTATTTTACTCTGGTTTTTCTCGAATATTTCTCGATTTCAGTGCGGAAAAGTGTTTTGAAATGAGTTTTGTAGTGCGAGGTATCGAATTTTCCATAATTGGCACGTTAATTTTCAAATAAAATGTAATTTTTCTTAGCAAAAATCTTCATGGTAAGTCAATTTTTCCTAATCAATTTTGCTCTATTCCCGGCTCTCGGATTTGTCTCAATAAAGAAAATTCAAGAGCCTGGAATAGAAAAAATATGAATATTCACATTTTTCCATCTCAATTAAGTCTGTATTTTTGTATAACTGGATTTTCCTCAAGTTCCAGGAGAATGCGTGACCTTGAAAATTTTCAAAATTTCCTTCTGTGGCACTATTAGGAAACCAAGATTATAGATCTCCCACTTGTTCACAGGGTGGGCCGGTATAAGAACTCCAACTTGGGCCGAAAAAATTTCCCAATCCGGCCCTGTTGAATAATCACAATTTATTTATTCTTGACCCTTTTGCTATGAAATTTCAGAGTCTTGAAGTTAAAGCCTTGCTAAATATAAAGAAAAATACATGGCCCTTTCACAAGCCTAAGACTATAAGGGGAAAATTGAAAATGCACGCATGATGTTGTATGGCAGATGTATCATATGATGTTAAACAGCTTTGAAAAATCACAATTTCATCATATTTGGCATTATCCTCATGAAATTAAAGTCTTGCTTCACTCACATGAAGAAAAATACATTTCCCTTCTACAAGTATGAAAATAGAAACCAGACAATTTTGCAATTAGGTATCATCAGTCAGAATCTTAGTAAACAGGTATTATAGGTATAGTAATATTTTGACTACAAAAGAGGTGTTGATAATAATTGGAGAACTTCAACTGTAATGGAAATGAAAAGGCTGCTCATTTGTATCTGCTCTACCTGCTCGAAAATTAAATAGATCTGCTATTTATGAGCTTATAATATATGGGACAAGTGAACGCCAATCTGCTTGAGGCAAAAAAAGCAGTACAAATGAACACCCTAGAAGCTAGATGTGCTAGAAATCCAAGTGAAAACGAACACAGAATTAACTTTCCATTTAGTGTGGAAAAACTGGATACAGAATGTCACAATAATGTTTTTATTTCTACGAATATCTAACTAAAGAATACGGTTGAAGAGGTCCATGGTAAAGGACAAAAATCAGGATAATATTTGTAATTATTGGTGGTGAAAATTTCATATTATTTCTTCTAATTTGACGTGTTGAGAAATCAGTAAAGGTACTTGTGAACAAAATTCAATATTATTTGAAACCAAAAAGTTGATCCCAGTACGAGATAATCTCATTTTATGTATGTAAGAATTCAACTTGCCCTTTGGAGGAAATTTCTAGAAAAATTATGGTTTTTATGTCTCAACTGCCCAACTTTATATAGTTCTATATTGAGTCCAGAATTGTAAGTCTTTAAGGAGCTGAATTGGTTTCAGATAATCTATACCTAGTTCATATTTTACTTTTATGTCTCAATAATTAAATTCAGCATAAAATTTCAATTAGGTACCCAATTATGAGAAACAAAGTATTGCTAGATTGTTTATTTCAATTCTATAGGTTGCAACAAAACTAATTTTCATGACATTACTAACCATTACATTCTGACTGGGTTGTCTTCTCAGCAATCTCGCCTGGAAACTGGACGGGGTGTCTATAGTATGCTGACGCGACAACGCAGGGTGCTGATTGCTGACGCTGCCCTGCCGGAACCATGGCAAAGAAATTTTCCTTTTGGCTTTTTGCGATTTGGTCAAACCGCCAGCGGAAGTTGCATTTCCTCCCGACATTTTTTAACGTAGGTATTCGTATTCTTACTGACTAAATTATAAGCACCAAGTTTTTTTTTTATTATTAAAAGCTTCTTGATCACAGAGCGGGTATTTGATAAATATTTTATTTACTTAAAAATTAGAGGGTGATGTGTATAATGTTATATTTTTACTAATGCGTGCCACAATATATTAAATTCTTATGGGTTTATTATTGAAAGACTGGGGTAGCAGTCGGGTTATGGTTGAGACTAGTTTCTCATGAGATGCCTGTTGTAAAAAAAATGGGAAAGAGTCCTTTAGTTTTTTTTTTTTTTATGTCATAGAACAAAGCAAACAATAATTTAATAAAATCATATTTTTATCTTTATCAGTGTGTGCATAATATTTTATCATCTTTCTGTCATAATTCATTGAGAGATTATTGCACAACATTCAATTTGTGGGATTATAATAATAATACGAGTTAAGCTTTGAAGTATCAGGAATTAACTGCTTCAAACATAAAGTTGAGAGTTTCAAGAGTCTAAAACATAGAAGAAGAATGAGTCAAATTTGTTTGAAGTTTGATGAACTAATTTTCAAAATTGGAAATGCCCTAAACTTTGAAGTTGAGGATCTTGTAGTTTAATAAATTTCTTCCAAATCCATTTGGAAATTTATTGAATTTCTCAGGAAATGGGTCTGAAAACCTGAGCCTTTTCAAAAAAGTTGTATTTATTAAACGAGGTAAAAGGCCTTAAAACTTGAAGATGATTGAGTTGAGAACAAGAAAAATAAGACTATATAAAGATGAGAATAGAAATTTTCTGATAATGTTGTTGTCAATGCATAATAAATGAAAGTTCCTGCAATAATCCTACAAAAAAAAAAAAAAAACAGGACCCTTCCTCCCAAATAACTACAACCGTAAGGAGTAGTATCCTGGACTCTGAGCGCCCATGTAAACAGGAATAAAAGCAGCGTCGCGACGTCGTCCCGAGTAATCAGCGTCGATTAAACGACCGGACATCATCCGGCCACACTGTGGCGGCGTCGGCACAACAACGTTCCAGAAGAGAATCCTGGATTTCAGGGGGGTTGCACCGCGACGCGCGATTTTCCCTGCGAGACTGGTCCGGTTCGCTTCGAGCAGGACGCCCCGGGAACCGACCGACGATTTATATGGATCCGTACGCAGGACTCTTCCCAGAGTATGCGACAAGCTGGATTTTCCACATTTTTTTTATTTTTTTTTGTTTCTGAAGGAAGGCCAGAAAACCGCATTCGCATATAGTTGATATGATAAGAATGAATGATTCATAATATGTATAATAATAATCGCGCAATGTAATTTTGGTTTATAACAAAGTCATAGCATGAAAAGTTATCTTGAATAATAGTTAAACTCAAGATACTGCCTGTCCCATATGTATTTTTATCTTGCAGGTGGGTATCTTTATTTGAAACACTCTGTTCGTATAAAGTCCACTCTGTATAAAGTTCCACGTGTAGCACGATCAATCTCTCTACATCAGCCGAGAACCAATTGCATTATGTATACGTTAATGCCTTAAAAAAGTTGTCCCTTTTGAGTATGATTTTCCCCCTTGGCAATCGATCTAATTTGATGGAAAAATGTATTTCTTTCCCCATATATTTAAACTGATACAGAATTGGGTAATGTCAAAAGAAAAAAGCATGATAATTTTGTATATGTTTTTATGACATGCTACGAGCATTTCTTGATGATTAATTGTTATTCTGTAGATTGCCAGCAGGTTTTTCTCGGAAAAGTTACTGCTGCATTGGACGCCTGCTGCTGACAAAGGAGTTTTATCATAGACAACTTTTATTTCAAGTTTAACTTCTTTTTTTGAATTTTAATTGGGACTGAGATTCACACCAGATTCATGTATGGATCAAGAGCCACAGATAATCAAAATTTGAACAATTATCGGCTCTTGATTATCTGGAAAACTTTCCTGGAGCCAATCAAGAGCCGATAATAATCAAAATCTGAACTATTATCGGCTCTTGATTCGCTAGAGCCGATACTTCTAAGGGAATTTGACTCAAGAGCCGATAACAATAAAAAAAATTAGATGACTTATTAGCAGCTCTTGAGTTGATATCAATCAAAATTTCGCCTTCCGCAGTTTCTGATTGGCTCTAGAAAAATTATCCAATGGTCAAGAGCCACAGCACAAGTGGCACTTAATTCTCTGAGAAAACTCTCCTGGGACCAATCAAGAGCCTGTAATAACCAAAATTTGAACTTTTATCAACTCTGGCTCAACTCAAGACTCAAGAGCCGCTAATAATCAAAATTTCGATTACTTATTAGCAGCTTTTGAGTTGATATTAATCCAAATTTCTTATTCTTTTTCTGAGCTCTGATTGGCTCTAGATAAATTATCCAATGGATCGAGAGCCACTAAATAATCAAAATTTGAATTATTACCGGCTCTTGAATCTCTGGAAAACTTTCCAGGAGCCAATCAAGAGCCGGTAATAATCAAAATTTGAACTTCTATCAACTCTGGATTCACTTAAGGCAGTTAGGCATTCCAACGGCCTGTCAAAACTATTCCAAAATGGCGACCGGGGCGGAAGGTCCTTATTCCGTATATGATAGTACAGAATTTAAAGCTTTTTAAAGTGCATTGTGTGGTTGTTTTGTGACTAAACCCTATCTATTTTTTTATTTTGCCATACTCGAAATACTTGTAAGAATCTAAGCTTTTGTAGGCCTTCATTTGCTCATTGCTGTAAAAACATTAATTAGCTTGAAAATATTCCAAATTAACTCAAGATAAACAAACAAACGTCAAATTTGCCACAGTCGCCATATCGAAAAATCACGTGGTTTGGAGAGAAATTTTACCTAAAACTGTTTTCCGATAACTGTAAACCGCTTTACGTAAAAAAAATAACTCTCGACGTTATTAACGTCCATACGTGCTATCTAGTTCACCGATATCTCTCTATTTAGAGGAGATTCAAGAGCCGGTAATAGACAAAAATTGAGACAAGTGCAAAACAAATGCTTTTTTATCTCTTTCTTATACAAGCTAGTAGAAAAAGACACGAATACAATACACTCGGTAAGCACTAACCCTTCCAATAGAATTTGCTATTAGTAGGCTTTGGAAATATCTATTGCTATGTCGATATTACAGGTGACTAGTTTGGGACCAACTTCAAATTTTGAAATTTTTCCAAAGCCTACTTTGTCGCTTGTCAAACTGTCGTGTTGCTACATTGACGCAGGGATATGTGAGGGAAAAATAGAATTTTGACGACTGCGCATCCGATTTTATGGTAACGCATAGGTTGCCGCCATTTTTATCACTTTTTACTAGTTATTTACTTATGCCGTTTCCGATTGGTAGATCTATAGTGTAATTTTTTTTTATATTTGTCTTTTTGGTCTACAGGTTGATTGAAAAGGAAAAAAACACACTCAGTACGCATGAAATCTACCAATCGCAAACGCCATTAGTTTTTACGTTGATTCCCCTATTCAATCAAGGATATTACCCATTACTACGATTGTTCACTGGTCTCGATTTTTGGAATCAAGATCATATATGGTGTTGCACCGTTGCCGACGTCGTCAAATCTAAAAAAGGATTCTTTAGGAGTGTTATGGTCGTTTGCACCGATCATTTTCAGGAACCCTCAGCAATAAGTATTCCTCAAAATGTCATTTTTACATGAAGAAATGTCACTTTAAGAAATACTTATCGCTGAGGCTTTTTTGAAATGGTCGATGCAAATGGCCGGTAATTTACTAAAATCAAGCAAAAATCAGCGGAATTATGGCCTACGTCATCGCTGGTACTTTAGGGAGGTGGAGGGCTCGAGATTTGAACTACACAGGTAGTACGTGTAATATCCTTGCTATTCAATGCCCGCATAATGTCCCTATTGATCAATATTCAATGCGGTGCCATGGGCATAACAAAATTGGGAATTTGGAGGAATTTGTAAGGAATTTATGAGGAATTTAGAGAAAATTGTAGAGTCATGACGTCACTGAGGTTCACATTCTTATTATAAGAAACACTAATAAATGGAAATTAAAAAAAAATCTGGTTTTGTGTTGAACGTTGGACATTTGGATGATTTACAGGTCCAAATTTAAAAAATTCAAAACAATAATGAGTACCAACAGTTTTTGTAGGCTAATTTCCAAGATTCTTCATGTTGTTATTTTCCACTGGAAAAATTTGAAAGTTTGGGAATATAAGCTTCTCACCTTCCTCTTCACATGCAAAAAGTTTCAAAATTATCCCTTTACTAGTTTTCCAGGAAAACTTTGAAATGTGAGAGACTGTATTTTCAATTAATTCAGTTATTGTAGGTTGATTTCCAATATTCCTCATGTTGTTATTTTCTACTGGAAGAATTTGAAATTTTGGGAAAATAAGCCTTAACTACTCTTCACATGCAAAAAGTTTCAAATTTTTGTTTTCACTAGTTTTCCAGGAAAACTTTGAAATGTGTGAGACTGCATTTTCAAATAATTCAGTTATTAGAGGTTGATTTTCAAGATTTTGCATGTTGTTATTTTCCACTGCAAAAATTTGAATTTTTGGGAAAATCAGTCTCTGACATTCCTTTTCACATGCAAAAAGTTTCAAAATTTTCCCTCAATTAGTTTTCCAGGACAATTTTGAATTGTGTAAAACTGTATTAACAATTATTTCAGTTTTTGTAAGTTGATTTCCAACATTTTTCGTTGTTATTTTCCACTGGAAAATTTTGAAATTTTGGGAAAATGAGCTTCTCCCCATTCTCTTTACATGCGAAAAGTTTCAAAATTTTTCCTTCACTAGTTTTCCAGGAAAACTTTGAAATGTGTGAGATTGTTTTTTCAATTAATTCAGTTATTGGAAGTTGATTCCCAAGATTTTTCGTGTTGTTATTTTCCACTGGAAAAATTTGAAATTTTGGAAAAATAAGCTTCTCACCTTCCTCTTCACATACAAAAAGTTTCAAAATTTTCCCTTAATTAGTTTTCCCGGAAAACTTTGAATTGTGTGAGACTATATTAACAATTATTTCAGTTTTTGTAAGTTGATTTCCAAGATTTTTCATGCTGTTATTTTCCACTAGAAAAATTTGAAATTTTGAGAATGAGCTTCTCATCTTCCTCTTTACATGCAAAAAGTTTCAAAATTTTCCCTTCACTAGCTTTTCGAGACAGTAATTTTTATTAATTCAGTTATTGTAGGTTGATTTCTAAAATTCTTCATGTTGTTATTTTCCAGTGGAAAAATTTGAAATTTTGGGAAAATGAGCTTCTCATCTTCCTCTTTACATGCAAAAAGTCTTAAAAATTTTTCTTCAATAGTATTCCAACCTTTGAAATGTGTGAGACTGTACCCAAGTTGTTTAAAAAGTAGCTACATGACGTGTATTATTCTTGGTATTATACTGTATTATATTTGTTTTAATTTCCTAAATCATCATCAATCCATATCAATGAGGTAATAATATCAAATGCGGGTTTAGGTTAGTTTAAACCCCCGCATTCTGGATTACCAAAATCGAATCATTAGTTCTAGCTTTAAAGTCAACTAACGTAATCTTGCATTGGATCCTACTCTCGATCCTACTTGATAAACTGCTCTTGTATTTTAACTAAGCGAAATAAAAATAGAAAAAATAAATTTCTTATCACGAGCAATTATGGGGATATTTAGGGAATTTGCAAGAGACATTTGTGGTAATTTTGAGAAGAGTTTAGAGGAATTTGCGGAAATTATGAGGAATTTACAGGAAATTTTGTTTAGAGGAATTTGTGGGGTATTTGAAGAAATTTGTGGTGCGGTATTTGGAGGAATTTGTGATAGGGTATCTGGAGGAATTTGTGGGGAATTTGGAGGAATTTGCAGTAATTTGAGTAAAAAATTCCTCTTTGAGGAATTGTTTGCACAAATAATGGGATGGTGGTTTACCCCTTGTGAAGAATATCTTCTAGTTTCTCTTAAAGGCTAACCACTTCATTTATGATTTCTGATTGGTAAATTTTGCAAATCATAATATCAACAATTTGCTTATACCTCAACTGTAAGCTATAAATATACAGTGTGTCCAGCTTAAGGATTGACCACCCTTCTAAAATTCTTATTTTTCAACCAATTCAATTAATCTTTTTTTGTCTTATAGCTACTCGAATTTGGCACTTATTTCTGCGACTGTACTGGTGTACAGGGTATCCACATTTATAGACTCAATTTTCAAGTACTATTAGGTATTTTTTTAGAAAATATCTGATAGCAGATTCTTGTTTAGAATGGTCTAAAACTCAAATGTACTAATTTTTGATCCAATACGATACAGGGGGATGACAATAAATTTTCACAATTTAATGAATCCATCCACAAAAGTGTGGGGGGGGACAAGCTTACTACTTGGTTAAGGATGACCTAAAACTATGTTGTATCAAGTTTTGTAGTTCT